ATCTCTAAATTTGAATAAGCGATAATTTTAATTAGGTAATAATAGTCAATGACTACACAATCCTGGCATCACCTGTGAATGGTGACACTGCTGCTTGGTGGCAACTTATTAGAAAAATGGCCCTATGGACTAATAGTCGCAAGTTGCTAATCTGATGCCCTGCATCTAGTTTAGATGATCGGATAAGTTCATGCCGTTTATTTCAAAGCCAAGAAGTTTCTAAGAAAGGAATATGGTAAAACATTAATGCAACAGAGTGTTTTTGGTTTATCCAATGGTTTGTTTCAGGCAGGAGTCAAGCAATTTGCACACATCACACAGGACGCTTTCACTCGAATCAATGTGGGTATAGTATGAAAGGTCAAAATCACTGATCTATTAAGAATGAAAGAATTGGATCATCTCACGTTTACTGCGAGAAATGTTTCTTCCACGAGGAATGGATGTGATTTTGTGCAAATGATCGCAATAGTGTACTTTTTTGGCAAATCAATTAATTTCACCTTGTAGCGTAATATGTTTACCTCATATAATCTTAAAGTAAAGTGTCATCGTGCAGAATGGTTATGCTTTTCGCAGTGACCTTGAAACTGTCAAAAGCTTGCTCCTCCCTTTCCCGCTCCTTCCCTTCGCTTTTAGATATCCCAAACTCTTTAGAAGGCGAGCTGCAGCGGTGCTTCCAAACTGGGTTTGAAGTAAAAGTAAGGAAGTAACTTAGCAAAGAGAGCTTATAATTTGTTAGGACTAAAATCCTTAGTTTTGTCCGAACTGCCCTCGAGATGTTGGTAAGCTTTGTAAATTTTCAGCAAGCCGTTTCACATATTGATGAACAAAGCGTAAAGGATTTGAAAATAATCTGGAAGACTCTCCGGACAACCTGACTGATTTTCTGCTAACAAATCCAACTTTTTGAAATTTTGCCACTTGCAGCATCATTTTCGAAAGGGTGATTAGATTTTAACATAATGGAGGTTTTGCTGACTGCTCTTAAGCTTTCATGAAAAAATGGACGAAACAAGAAAGGTTGCTTGACGTTTTCTGGATAACCTTTTGAATTATAGTAGCTATCTGCGTTGCAGGTATGGGTTTTCCTCAAACAACTATCGCTAAATAAGCAAATGTACTTACCTTTTTTACCTCTTCTTTCTCAATTGATTCGTCTATCTTTTTAATGATTTCTTCACAGCGTCTGCAGAGAAACGCAAAAAACTTCTGAAACCTTAGATTTTGCCTATCATTTCAAAGATAATTGTATTCTCCTTGGAAAACACACCTTTATCTTTTCTATCAGTGAGTTTAGAAAATCACCACGTCGACGAAGGGTTGATTCCTCATTCTCCAACCCTGTTTCTTCTTTTAAATGGGTGCTTTCGGAATGTTCAATAGCTGCACAGAAGCCAATGCAGAATACTAGCAAAAGCAGTGAGCGCATACTGCAATCGCAATTTTGCTCATAACAGGATTAATTATCAAAGTTTGAAAACTTGAAATTATGGCTGAAGAAATTGTTCAAAATGAAAGGTGTTTTAAGCAGCTATAAAAACTGTTTCCAGAAATGAGCAGGTCAAGGTAGCAGTGAAGAATCTGAATGCAACTTCTATCGCTAGACCACACTTTTCTACCTTTGTCTTGTGAGAGATAACTATGTTTACTACGCACAAATATTTTCACTTTTGTGACACACCATGATGGTATCGTGCATGAGAAAGCACTACTTTCCAACAAAAATGAAGTCTTTCGCTTTGATTACATCGTCGCCTTAAAATTTAAAATGCAAGAAAGAAACTCTTAAGAGACGTTGCTAACGAAGTCCTCCTCTCCAACTAGAAATGGTATAATTTCGCTTCACAAAAAATTGTGTAATCTTATGTGCAAATCATTCTTTCACTCATTTTATTGTTGGAAATTTCAGAAGGCACCAGCAAAACCAAAGGCCTCAGCTATATTAGGTATTTAGATGCGAGATAGTTGGACATTTTCAGCTTCTTTAAAAAGGTCAAGAG